TGGAAGTTATTGGTTGTTGTTAAGAATAAACTGGTACTAGTAATTGCCACACTATGAAGTATATGTTAGAATAACTTATTAAAAATAACTTTAGTGTATTTTTCTTTTGGCCATGTGATTTTTTTTTAAGTAATCAGAAAAATGATCTCCCTAAGGGTAAGGCTGGCATTGACTCTTTTTTTTTTTTTTTTTTTTGCGGTACACGGGCCTTTCACTGTTGTGGCCTCTCCCGTTGTGGAGCACAGGCTCCGGATGCGCAGTTTCAGCGGCCGTGGCTCACGGGCCCAGCCACTCCGCGGCATGTGGGATCTTCCCGGACCGGGGCACGAACCCGTGTCCCCTGCATCGGCAGGCGGACTCTCAACCACTGTGCCACCGGGGAAGCCCCTTAACTCTTTTTATAACACTGTAATTGCAGGGTGTGGAGTAATTGATCATTTCTGAAGATGCAGGGGTGTGGTAAATTTGCTGATTCCAGAAGAAACCCTTATGTCCCACTTAAGTATGCAGTTAGAATAGAACAGGTAGTAAATGAATCAATGTAACAACTTTCCGTTTGTTTTTTTGACAGTATGCTTTGAAATAAAAAGATACAAAATAATGACTAATTTGTATCTGGAAGATTAGTCGTCAAATGTGTCTTTTCTTTAAAGGAGGGGGCAAAAGAGACCAAAATAAGTTGAAAAGCTTCTGCGCCTTTTCCTAGGGTCTCAACTGGTAAACCCGGAAAAGTTTATGACAATAATCAGTCATTCAAGTAGAAGGGAACTATTTTTTCTGGTAGTCTAATATTGATACTTTGGGATTGTCCTTTATCGTGTACCAACTAGATTTGGTTGTATTATTTCTTCTCAGATTCCTCTTGCTCTCCACGCTGCTTACTTTCATTTCACTTCCCCAATGCAGACCCTCTTCATTCTGGTCAGTCTTATTTCCTTCTTGTCTTGGAACCAGTCCTAATTTCCATCTTCTTGCCTACTGTTAATAAGAAGGGTTGTTCTGTCAAGTCAAGTGGGCTGTTCGCTATTTTGGAATAATTTATCATTATTTCTCTATTGTTCCAAAATCTGTAGTTTTTCAAAGTGAAGACCAAATTCTATATTTCATGAAGGTTTGCTAGATGCCTATAATGTTCAATTGAGTTTTCTAAACTTTGACTTTGTTTCATTTGAAATTTTGTCTCTCTAATTGTTTTGCATGTTTTTTTAATCGCTCTCCAACTACTAATAGTTAATAAGCCTTAGAGTGAGGACCTTATCTTATACCTATGTATTCTCTATAAGGAATGTAGTATAGTGCTGGATATGCATCAAGTATTGAAAACTTTTTTGTCCCCACCTGACCTTCCCCCACTTTCCTTCTTCTCCTTTCCCTCTTCTTCTCCTTTTTAAAAAATATTCCTTAGATTTTTACCTGGTTATAACTAATTCTTCCAGTGGCATTCAGCCTCAAAGTTCACTTGATTTAACATTTTAAATTTATCCTTTCTTGGGAAAAAATTTGCTTCATACTGCATTTTGAAATAGTGGACATATTTTAAAATCTGGATATCAAATCTACATGACAATTTAAAAGATGCCTTCCATACACACAGAAAAAACCTAAAACTAGTAAGTAGACTAACTCAAAAATGTTTTACAATATGTGTCATTTTCTAGTTTACAGAGAGCTTTTGCAAACCATTCATAAAAAATGCAGTAGAAAATATAGACAGGGCTTCCCTGGTGGCACAGTGGTTAAGAATCGCCTGCCAATGCAGGGGACACGGGTTCAAGCCCAGGTCCAGGAAGATCCCACATGCCGCGGAGCAACTAAGCCCATGCGCCACAACTACTGAGCCTGCGCTCTAGAGCCCACGAGCTACAACTACTGAAGCCTGCACGCCTAGAGCCCGTGATCCGCCACAAGAGAAGCCCGCGCACCACAACGAAGAGTAGCCCCCACTCGCCGCAACTAGAGAAAGCCCACGTGCAGCAACAAAGACCCAACTCATCCAAAAATAGATAAATAAATAAACAAGTAAATAAATTAAAAAAAAGAAAATATAGACAAAGGATGTGAAATAGTATTTAAGGGGAAAAAGGAAGTAGAAATTCAACATCCTTGTAGTTAAAGAAATGCAAATCAGAATGAGGTACTACTCTCTTTTTTCCTTTTTTTAATCAGATGAGCAAAAATTGTTTCATGATACCTAGTGCTGACAAGAGGAGATGGAAAAATGGACATTCTCATGTCCATGTCTCATTAGTGGGTTAGTTAGGAATGCATTTTTCTGCAAGTAATAGAAAAACTCATCTATTGATACTAGTTTAAGCAAATAGGGACTTATTTTCTTACACAGCTGGCATTGTGTTATTAGCAGCTTGATGTCAGGGCTGGCATTTCTTAATTTTCTTGGCCAGTTCTTTTGACTGCTTTGTGAATACAAGTTGTTTCAGATATGTTCACATTCAAAGTAAGAAGAAAGTGGTAGAGTCTACACTATTTGTTGACTGTCCCTTTTATCAGAAAAGCAAAATTGTTTCCAGAGCTCTGCAGCAGATGTGCTTTTCAGACTCATAATCCTTACATGGGGTTAGGTATATTGCTGCTCTGAACCAAAACAATGTTCTATTAGGAAGATGGTGAGAGAAGATGGTGAGAGGGAATGTTGGATAGTCAGCTAAAATTGTCTTGTCACACAGCTGGTACAACTTTTTTAAAGATAAGTTGTCAGCGTATTCCCAAATTTAATATACACAGATCTTTGATGCAACAGTTCCATTGTTCAGAGTTTACCCATGAATAAGTTTCTGTTCCTCTGAATCATTCAGAGAACATGGTAGAAGTACAACTTTCTGGGCCTGAGCCTAGAACTCAGAATCATTGGCGTTGGGGCCAATGAATATGTATTTTTAAAAAAAATAGCTTACTAGGTGACTATTATGTGGAGCTAGGTTGTGTAGACTATAGAGAAACCCAGATTTTTAAAGTAGGCATAAAATTGCAAAAAAAAAAAAATTTGTATCCAGCCAACCACTGGCATGTCATATCTGGAGCTCGTTTTTCTTAAAAACAAAACAAATGAAACAAAATACCTCTTTTTTTTTTTTTTTTTAACTTCAGTTAAATAATTGCAGATAAGCCAAAAGAAGAAAGCGTCAGCCCAGTTATATGGGGAGAACAGCCATTAACACCAACTAATATTGTTAGTGTATTTTATTTGATATAAATCCTTACAGATCTGTGTGTAGCATGCATATAATATATATGTAGTGGTTATCTTTCTATATCAAGACAGGTGCACATATTTCCTTTTAAATTATTATTATTCCATTGTACAAATATGCCACCTACTAAAGCAGTGTTCTTAATACTACCCTCTTTTTTCGCTATAATAGTGTTCTAGTGAATGCTTTTAAACTAATAAATGTTTTTTATCTGATTATTTACATAACATAAAATATGCACAATTGCCATTTGGTATATTTTGTGCGACTGTCCTCCAGAAATATCTTTTTACTTGTTGCCAATTTGATAATCTCATTGTTTTAATTTACATCTTTATTAATAAAGATTCAGTCCTTTCATATGTTTATTGGCCACTTGCACTTCTTTCTTTGAATTCCTTTAGTCTTAATCCTTTTTTACATTATATTATGCAATATTAACTAATTATGTATTCTGAGTATATTTTAGGAGTAAATCAGTTTTATGGTCTGTTTAGTTTTGAGAATAATCCCTAATTTAAAAAGAAGACATGCTCTATAATTTAATGATTCAGTTTCCATTTAAACTGTTAGTGGAAGAGATGAAGTGAATTGTGAAAATATATTGTAGTATTACCTTACAGGATAAAAGAATAATTCCTTATTATTTTATGGCCTTAACCATAAGATGACTTAATTTAAAAGATTTTATGAAGTAACTATCCAGATGGTAAAACTTTCATAAATATTTTTTTAATGATTTTTAAAAAAAATTTATTTATTTTTGGCTGTGTTGGGTCTTCTTTTCTGTACGTGGGCTTTCTCTAGTTGCGGCAAGCGGGGGCCACTCTTCATCGCGGTGCGCGGGCCTCTCACTGTCGCGGCCTCTCTTGTTGCGGAGCACAAGCTCCAGATGCGCAGGCTCAGTAGTTGTGGCACACAGGCCTAACTAGCTCTGTGGCATGTGGGATCTTCCCAGACCAGGGCTCGAACCCGTGTCCCCTGCATTGGCAGGCAGATTCTGAACCACTGCGCCACCAGGGAAGCCCTACGATTTTTTATTTTTTGGCTGCGTGGCTTGTGGGACCTAAGTTCTCTGACCAGGGATTGAACCCGGAGCCCCAGCAATGAGAGCTCAGAGTCCTAATCACTGGACTGCCAGGGAATTCCCTTATAACTATGTTTTTATTTTTTTATTATTTCTTTTATAACTATGTTTTTAATAACACTTACTTTAAAAATCACTCTTTAATTTTAAAACCTTAATGTGTATCTTCTATAATAAAATCAAACCTAGCTGCTAGGATTTAAAATTTATAGATATATTTCAACAGTATAACCTTCTTAAAAATCTATCCTGAGCTAAGTTATGAATTTCCCTCTGAAACATTTATATCCATGACCAGAATTTGTTTTGTTAGCTAAAGCCTCCAGAACAGATATTAAAGATATTGCTGTTTTTCAGGATTGGTAGCAAGATAGCATTCAGATATTAAAATTTAGATTCTTAGCTAGCTAAGGAGCACTGAATTCTAGATATGATTGCTTCTTTAGGGAGCAGGCTCAATACTCACTGTTTTATAGATGAAGGAGCTAGTTTTTACTCAGTCAACAATAAACTGGCAGAAGTTTGGAAAATTTGTTATAGAATTTAATTTGTAATATAAAAACTAATAAACCTGATTATGACTTACAGAAGAGCTCAAGAATCAAATTAATATATTCCTTTAATAGCTAACTTGGGCTTTTAAAAGGTGGTTTTGATGATGCCAAATAAACATTTGGAAGACGTTTCTCTTTATGTTTCCGCAGATCATTAACTGAAGAAAAAATAAACAGCCATGCAGAATTCTCACATGGATGAGTACAGAAATTCCAATAATGGCAGCACAGGCAACAGTTCAGAGGTAGTGGTAGATCAGTCTACTGATTTCAGTACTGAGATTATGAATGTTACAGAAATGGAACAGTCACCTGATGGATCTCCTAATGTGAATACAACTACGGAAGAAAATGAAATAGCAAATACTGTGGACCTTCCAGTGACAGAAACAGAAGCAAATTTCCCTCCAGAATATGAAAAGTTTTGGAAAACTGTAGAAAGTAATCCTCAGGATTTTACAGGCTGGGTATATTTGCTTCAGTATGTAGAACAGGAGGTTAGTAACTATTTAAATGGGATTAGAGGGGACAGAAAAATCAAGTAATACCAGACTAGGCCTTATTGTTTTGTGATTAAAGTTGCCTCTTTTATAATTTTCAGATTAAGTTGAAGAACATTTTAGATAATATTTTTTTAGCTTCAAAAATAACTTTCATAGCATTTGTACATTATGGAAAGTATTAGAATCAAAGTCTAATGTTTGTAATAATTGGTGTGTGTATGTATGTGTGTATAAAATTGCTGAAATAAAAAAATTACTTTGCTGTTTGACAGAATTAGTTCCTTCTGTTTCAAAGGGTAAGATTGCATTGTAGGAAAAAGGGCTGCTGTGTGTGTGGTTTTTAAGCCTGCCATTTATTTTGAGATAATAACAGGCATACCTCGTCTTATTGCGCTTCACTTTATTGAGCTGCACAGATACTGCGTTTTTTACAAATTGAAGGTTTGTGGCAATCCTGCGTTGAGCAAGTCTGTTGATGCCATTTTTCCAACAATATTTGCTCATTTCCTGTCTCTGTCACATTTTTGGTATTTCTTGCAGTATTTCAAACTTTTTCATTATTATGTTATGGTCATCTGTGATCAGTGGTATTTGATGTTACTATTGTAATTATTTTGGCATTTTTTAGCAATAAGGTATTTTTAAATTAAGGTATGTACATTGTTCTTTTAGACATAATGCTATTGCACACATAATAGACTACAGTATAGTGTAAACAGAATTTTTGTGTGCACTTGGAAACCAGAAAATTTGTGTGACCTACTTTATTGCGATAATACGCTTTATTACAGTGGTCTGGAACTTAACCCGCAATATCTCTGAGGTATGCCTGTACATTTGAAAGGAATAATAGTTTTTGTGACAAAAATTTCCAAGATGTTTAAACACCTTGTTTTATTTTCATCAGAATCACTTGATGGCTGCCAGGAAAGCGTTTGACAAATTTTTCATACACTATCCGTATTGCTATGGTTATTGGAAAAAGTATGCAGACCTCGAAAAGCGGCATGACAACATTAAACAATCAGATGAGGTGCGTACATTACTGAATAAAGTTATCTCCATTAGGTACTGTAAGCCAAATAATAACAAAACAGAGACTTTTTTTGGCTGGCAGTACCTACGATTTATGGTCAAACAATTTTATAGGGTATTTTATTTGCATTTGTCACTCTTGTGGCATTTGTAGCTAATATTTTCTCTCTTTGTTGGCAGGTGCGTTAAACCTCTACAGTTTGTCAAGCTTTGCAGTGCAAGCCTCTGTATTACACTGCAGCTTAACAAGTAGGGCAGGGCTTTTCTCTCACTTACATTTATTTCTCATTTTCCAAACAATATAGTTGGTTTGCTAGTCACATTTGCTACGTCTTATTGCATTTTTGGTCAGACGCTGTCATTGATGCTCTAATGGGTCTGTGCCCTATGGTCTGTAACCCAAAGCCTGCCCACACAACCCGGTCAGAATGCAGGGACTGCTGCGCTTTGAAGATCAAGACTCTGCACGTGGGGATCAGAACATTGCCATGTTCTATCCAACCTCCACCCAAATGGTAATGGTAGATTATTTAAACAAAATTCCAGTAATTAGTATTTCTAAGGTTCACCGGATAACACAGTGTTGCCTCTCTGTTAAGAAATAATTAAATATTTGAAGTACAGTTTGTTGTTTTCTTCTTAGGTGTATCGCCGGGGGCTTCAGGCAATACCTCTTAGTGTTGACCTTTGGATACATTATATAAACTTCTTAAAAGAAACATTGGACCCTGGTGATCCTGAGACAAACAGTACAATAAGAGGGTATGTGAAACACTGATACTTAAATGTATTTAAAGATATAAATAAGTCAAGTATTCTGATATTGATAATAGAACTACTCAAGAATGCTGAACTAAAAGTTTAACTTTCTTTTTCACTATTAAAAAAAATGATACACATAGTAAACTTATGCATGATTATTAAAAAATGTACATAATAAAGTCCTCCACCATTCCACACCCCCTTTTCTTATGTCCCCAATCCCTCTCCTCTCATGGTTAATTACTTGGGGTGTGTTCTTTCAGATAAACATAGATGTACATATATGTGTGTATACATATTACACATATTTTTGTTTGATTTCTTAAAAAAATTAACAGAATGTTTTAGAAATTCTCCCTACCATTTTTTTAACCATTGCAAGAGTGTTTTATAGTATCAAGGTAGTATATTTTATTTGACCAAATTCTTATTTATAGGAAATCATTAGTGCTTCAGTGAACATCTGTTTACAAGTCAATGTTTATGTAGAACACTCTAGAAATGTAACTTCGGTCAAAGGGAATCGCAGCTATGTTTTGTCATATGTTCTTTTAAAAGTGGTAGCAATTTTAAACTCCCACAGTGTATGAGGGTAGTCATTTTCCCATAGTCATGCCATGTTTTTTTCTTTAACCTCCAGTAGTATTTCATTATCTTAGTTCACATATCTGTAGGTTGGTCATCCTGGTTTACCATTTTTTCAAATGCTGTCTATATAAGGCATTTTTACATTGCTTGTTCATGACATTTGCTCATTTTACTTTGGATTGTCTTTGTTACTGATTATAGGAATTTAAAATGTGTTTTTGGTTTTTATTTTCATCAATTTATTGATATGTACATGTAATTTAAAAAGTTAATGTTAAACTGCTTGTAACAAAAAGTGATTCCCTCCACCTCTCTTTAAATATTTTAGCCGTTTCTTCTGATATTTTCCAACATGTTTAAAACAGTAGCACTCTACTGCTTTCTGCTTCTCTCTCACTACCTATAGACATTATCATTCTGTTATGGTAGATGAGAATTTTTAGTTCACTTATACCCTGTCTTCCCATTCCTCATCTTTCCAGTATGGATAGGTTTCATAGCTTTTTGTTTTTCCTGTAATTACCCCTTTCCTTCCCTCCCCCCTTTTTTCCATTTGCCTGGCTTTCTTTAAACATATAAAATTTTCTACCCCCTCCAACAGCTACTTTCAGTAGTCAGTACTAATACTGACTTTCCACAACGTACAAATGCTATATAAGTTATTTTTTGAAACTAAAAAATATATGTATCTAGTGTTATTCTACTTAATCTGAAGATTACAAAAAAAGAATTATGTTCTGAGAAATGTAAATTCCATTTTTTTTCCTCTTCTTGGAGATAGCCCTCCTGGAACCTCCTCTTCTGTAATCTGGACTGGTTGCTGTATTCTGATTCTGTTGTACAGCGGTTTTTGGATTTCCTCATTATCATGGTTCTAGGAGATGTCTTGACCTTTTTCCTGGGTATCAAGCTCTATTTATTAGAGCTTGTTAGATCCTACTCTTTCTTGGTTCATGCCTGCCTTTTAGAGGAGTACATCCCATAACTGCTTGGAATGAAAAAAATTTTTTTGAATCTTTATGTCTGAAACAATTGATGGTCCAGTGGGGTGTAGAATTTTGAGGTGAAAGTAATTTTTCCTTAGGGCTTTGAAGGCATTTCTCCATCTATCTTCCGGTGCTGCTTTTGAGAAGTATTAATACCATTCTTTTGAATTCTCTTTATGTGACTTGTTTTTCTTCATGGAAGCTTTTAAAATGTTCTCTTTATTGTAACTGCAATTGTAATGCTTTGGTGTGGACTTTCTTTTTCTAGTTAATTGTGCTTACTTAGTGGGCCTTTTCAATCTGGGATGCTTTAAAGCACATCTTTCTAGTCTTAGAAATGTTATTATTGTGTACATTCTTATTTTGATAATTTCTTTCTCTTGGTTTTCTCTGTTGTTTTCAATAGTTGGATATTGGACCTTCTGTTTTAATCATTTAATTTTCTTACCTTTTTCCTTTTTCTCAATCTCCTAGGATTTGTTTGCCTTTTTGAGGTATTTCCTTGAACCTTGTATTAGATTTTTAATAGCTGCCATAAGATTTTTAGTATCTAAGAATCTTTCCTCTTCTTTGAATATTCCTTTTCTTATAGCCTCCTATTCTTGTTATATGGCTGCATATCTTTCTATTTTAATATCCAAATTTTTTACTTTTAAAAATATTTATTATTATTTTAAATAATTATTTTATTTTGGTTGTGTCAGGTCTTAGTTGTGGCGTGCGAACTCTTAGCTGTGGCATGCGTGTGGGATCTAGTTCCTGGACCAGGGATCGAGCCCGGGCCCCCTGCGTGGGAGCGTGGAGTCTTAACCACTGCACCACCAGGGAAGTCCTATTTATTTATTTATTTAATTTTATTTATGGCTGTGTCTGGTCTTAGTTCTGGCACGCGGGGTCTTCATTGAGCCTTGTGGAATCTTCTGTTGCGGCACGCGGGCTCTTTGTTGTGGTGCACAGCCTTCTCTCTAGTTGTGGAGCTCAGGCTCCAGGGCGCATGAGCTCTGTAGTTGTGGCACGTGGGCTCCAGAGTGCATGGGCTCTGTAGTTTGAGGCACATGGGCTCTCTTGTTGAGGTGCTGGCTTAGTAGCCCCGCGGCATGTGGGATCTTAGTTCCCTGACCTGGGATTGAACCCGCGTCCCCTGCATTGGAAGGTGGATTCTTTACCACTGGACCACCAGAGAAGTCCCTGGCTGCATATCTTTTTAACATTTCTTTGAGCGTATTAAGGATGGTTGAAATTTTTCTCTGCCCTCAGCGCTGTTTTCTCTTTTTTGTTTGTTTGCTTGTTTTCATTTCTGATACGTTTGATCTCTGGATTTCTGCTCATGTTAAAGATTCAATACTAATAAACTGAATGGAAGTTCTGTACTACATTGTTAGCTGGAATAAAGGGCTTCACGGTGCATGATCAGGTGGCTACTCAGGTTTTTGTTGGGGGACTCCCAGTGTTGGAATCTTTATATCTTATTCCTATACCAAGCAGTTTCTTCGTTGAAGGATCATCTGATCTGCCTGGGGAGCATATACCTAGCTTCTGAAATCCCATAGCTGAGCAGGAAAGTGGGTTCAAGGCCTCTTACCATTCATTAAGCAAACCTTCGTCTAAACATTTTGTTCATTACCTGTCATCCTTCCTCTTCCAGCTACTTCCAGTTTTCTTAGTGCCTGGTGCGTTAATTTCCTGAATCACTTCGGGATTCTGCAGAGGAATAACATGTATTTTAACTCTCTTGAAAATCTCAAACAAACATACACGTGTGTGCACGTACCACACACACACGCACGCATGCGCGTGCATGTTCTCTCAATCCCTTATGTGTATTAAACATATTTCCCCCGGTTTTGGCACATCTTTGTTTAGGGTATCTTTATCATATAGAGGTTTTTGTTTTTGTTTTTTTCTTACTGTGGTTCAATTTGTAATCTTTTATTGGTTTCTGAGTTTTGTGCCTATCTTGCCAAGAATACATAAATCTTGAATTTTTTTCTAATTCTTTTTATAGGCTTTTTTTTATAGTTCACTTATCTGACATTTAGCTTGTGTCTTTTGTGAAACAGATTAACCTTAGTTTGCGTCTTCTGCAAGTCAGAGATTAACCTTTTATTTTTTCCATTTGGAATAGTCCATCTTTTCTGCAATGATTATTTTTTTTATTTTTTAAATTAAAAAAAAATTTTGTGTGCATTGATTTAAAATACTTTGTCATATACTAAATTTTCACATGTATATAGATCTATTTTGTTTTCTTGGGAACTGTTAATCCATTTTTCCGATACCAGGCCAGTGCCATACTTTTAATTTTTGTAGCTTTCTAGTTTCTTTTGATACCTTTCAGGAAAATGCCTGCTGCTTTGTACTTTTACAAAAATGTTTTGCATCTTTGTATGCTAGATGAATGTTAGAATTTTTTTTCTCTTCCATCCAAAATTTCTTAGAGCTTTGATTGGCATTCAGTTAAAGTTGTAGATTAATTTAGGTAGTGTAGTTTATACTGTTAAAAATCCCTCTTGATTCTAATATTTATTTTGAAAACGTACCTAAAATTTTATCCCATTGGGATATCAAATCCAGTGATTAAAATTGCTTACAGAAATCTCTTCAAATGAGCTAAGTATTTTAAAATAAATGATTTTGTAGTAAAGTGTAACTGTGGAATTTTAGAATTAGGAGAGAATTTTGAGAGTTTTAAAATATATGTATATTTCTCATTACCTGACAAGGCAGCTGGACCCCTTGTTGGAGAGTTGTTTTGCTAGAAAATTATTTCTTAAAGGGAGATAAATTTTGTCTGTCTTTTGTCCTAAAGGAATCTGTTCAACAGACATTTCAAGTTTAACGAATATTTTAGTGTCTACTGTGTTACTCTTATATGTTTGCTGTGTAATTTGCATTGCAAATTTATATCATATAAAACAATATACAGTTACATAAAATTACATTTACCTATTCCCTTTACGTTTTCCCTTTTTTTTAAGCAACTGTCATACACTTTTCTACTATTCCTTCTTCCTTTTAATCTCTACTTGTATAAAGTTGAATATAATTTTGAATTTAGCATTATCTTCTAAAATTTAGAAATATTTTATTAGTTTCAGGAGTATGACAATGATTTGATATTTGTATATATTGCAAAGTGTAGAAATAATATTTTTAAAGTGATTTTATCTTGGAAAGATAACTTAAGAGGTAATTTAATTTTTCAGAACTTTTGAGCATGCTGTTCTAGCTGCAGGAACAGATTTCCGATCTGACAGACTCTGGGAAATGTATATAAACTGGGAAAATGAACAGGGAAACCTGAGAGAAGTTACAGCTATATACGATCGTATTCTTGGTATTCCAACACAGCTGTACAGTCATCATTTTCAGAGGTGAGTGGAAAAATCAGGTTGTTAACATTTTTTTGTGATTACTCAGGTAATTAATTTCCAATAATGAGGATACTTATTCTCTTGAAATGTAAGATTCTATTAGACGCAAACAGGAATAAATTTTATTGCTCGATAATCGCAAGTTATATACAGTTTTAGATTTTGACATTTTCAGTATAGCTTATAAAATGTTTAGGAACTTTACTGGTTTTAGACAGAAGGTTCTTTTTATCTGTTTTATAGGTGAGGAAACGATAGGAATCCTGTCTTTTGTCTAAGATATTTCAGAGTAGTGAAGGAATGAGAGAAAAGAATCTAAGTTTAATTATTCTTCATGGTTAACACAGTACATGGCACATAATAGATGCTTATTTAAAACATAATGATTTACTAAAGGTCCATTCTTGTGATTCACGTAACATCTTATATCCAAAAGAGCAAAGAATGTATTTTATGTAGTAAGTACTGTTTATATTCAAACAATCAAAAATAATTTCAGTTTAATTTTCTACTATGATAATCTGTTATGACTCGTATCATTTCATTTTAATGAGTGCTGTTAAAACAACTAGTTCTGTGTACTGTGATTTCCATGTTCCTGATATATTCAAAGTATCCCATTAATAAGGCTCCCACTAATACGGACTTAGTCTTTCTGAACAAGAAAGTTATGAGGACTGTGTTGATAAATGTTTGCTATAACTGCCATATTTCTGTCATAATTTTTATAACTAGTATTGTGGTAGAGCCTGTAAACTTTAGGTAGTTATTAAGTAAGTGATTTTCTAAATTCTTCTTTACTAACAAATTAGAAAACTTTATGAAACGTTTGTACAGAACTGTGGATCAATTTGCTAAGCTATGTAGACCCAGGTTAGAAACAGAAAGCATGTGGACCTGAATATACCATCTCTGTTTTTCATGAGATAGAGGAGGTGGGCAGGTTTCTAGGGTATAATGACCTAGGGAGACACTTGCTGAAAGAGATTATTAACACAAGGGTTGGCATGTGGAGACGCTTGGTGAATATTTGTTGACTGAATTTAAAAAGTTAAAATATTTTTAATGTTTTTTTAAAAGCCTTTAAAAAAGATTTAAAAAGTTTTCTGGGACAAAGTGGGTTCCTTTCATAAACCAGTTCTTCTAGGGTCTAAAGTATAGGTAAAATATATGATTATAATAATTTTATTGTTGGTAAGAAAAAATATGACTAGGAAACAGTTATACAGACAGTATTCTGAGTGCCTTATAACTCATTTAATCGTCACAATTAACCAGGTATAGGTATAGGTACTATTATTTATCTATATTTTATGGAAGTAGAGGCAAAGAAAGATTAAAGTATTTGCAAAAGGTCACAGAATTAGTAAGTGGTTGGAAGCTGATTGGAACCTAGACAGTGTGGCCCCAAAGTTCTTGGTGTAGTTTTTTTTTTTTAATATTTCACTGGGCTTTTAAAAATGCATGTATGAGTATAATAGAGATTAGTGGATTGCATTACACATACTGCTTTTTAATCTACTCTTTTTCACTTAATGTAATGAGACACACTTTTCTTATGAGTATAGCAAACTCAGAAGTAGTGTTGGTATAAGTAAATCTTATAGTTTATATAAGTAAACTAATTCACATGACTAATTGCTTTGAGAACTGCTGAAATGTTTTCTTTTGCCAAATATACTTCTCCTATTTAAAGTCAGTTATTTAGCGCTTGCCATGTACCAGATGATATGCATTTAAGTTGTAGGAATAAAGGCCCAAAGAAGATATGTATGCATTGACTTGGCCCTCAAGTTGCTCAAAAGTGTAGAAGAGGAAGCATGTGCTAAAGGAGCTAAGTGCTGTATTAGAAATATTTCTGTTGTGTAGGCTTGTATATTGGATATACACTGAACATTATCTCTAAGAATATATCTAATTTAAAATCCTCCTTGGCATGAGTACTTTTGTGATATGATCTAATTCCTCAGGCCCAGTCCCTGGTAGTTCTTAAACTCTAGACATAACCTGAGTACTGATAATTTCCCAAAGGGCAGTGATGTTTTATGCTTTTTATGACTGTAATACCTTTTCCACTTTCCATTTGTCTGGTGAACTCATATTCCTTAAGACCCATACAGCTTAATGTTTTCTCCGTGACACTTTTTCCAGTTCACCTAAATGGAAGTGTCTGTTTTGTCTTTTGTGCCAGCACTCTACCTACATTTATTTCATTTATCTTAGCACTGATAACACTGTTTTGAATTTATGTCTCTTGTATCCTCACATGTCTGTCATTTTCTGAGGATTTTTAATTCTTTTTGGCCTTAATACCTAGGAACAGGTATTTTCCTTTACGGAAAACCCCTAACGAACTTTTTGGCCAACCCAGTATTAGGCACTCAGCCATTCTATATTGAATATATTAGCTTTATAGTAGAAAAAGCTAATGGAATATTACTGTTTAGTATTATGCATATTTTATCACCATATGAAAGAAGTTTATATATATAATGTGGCGATTATTTTATTTATTTTTATTGTATTTTATTTTTTAATTTATTTTTTTGGCTGTGTTGGGTCTTTGTTGCTGCGCACGGACTTTCTCTAGTTGTGGCGAGCAGGGGCTACTCTTTTTTGTGGTGCGCGGGCTTCTCACTGCGGTGGCTTCTCTTGTTGTGGAGCATGGGCTCTAGGCACCCAGGCTCAGTAGTGGTGGCTTGCGGGCCGTAGAGCGCAGGCTCAGTACTTGTGGCACAGGGGCTTAGTTGCTCTGCGGCATGTGGGATCTTCCCGGACCAGGGCTCGAACCTGTGTCCCCTGCATTGGCAGGAGGATTCTTAACCACTGCGCCACCAGGGAAGTCCAGTTATTTTAAATTTATGTTCTATAAGTAGTTATTTTTCAGTTTTACCTTATTTCAAGTTTCTTATTTATGTCTTGACAATTTTTAATTTTAATATTTATTTGAGTATTAAATCTATTCATTTTCATAATACACATGTGAGAGTTACTTCCTCATTTAAAGTTTTTTTAAACAAGGCAATCTGTATTTTTGTCTTCCTGGTGATAAAATAGGTGAAGTTAAGCCTCTGTATTCACTGATTTTGCAAAATTTAAAATTAGTTTCCAATGTTATTTACATATGTTTGTGAAAGTCTTTTTTTTTTTTTGGCCATGCCATGCGGCATGCAGGATCTTAGTTCCCCTACCAGGGATTGAACCTGTGCCCTCTGCATTGGGAGCACAGAGTCTTAACCCTTGGACTGCCAGGGAAGTCCCTGTGAAAGTCTTAAAATCCATAAAAATCCAGGTGTCAGTAACCTAAATCAATTTTAAGAAACTTGGGGAAAAAATCCATAAGGTTGGAGCATATGGTACATGTACAACCATGTCTGATAATTAGGTTGAAGAGGTAGGTCTGGGTCAGAGGCTAGGTCAGAATATGAAAGACTTCAAGGAGATTGGATTTTAACCTGAATGCAGGGTAAACATTGAAGTGATTTTGGCATGAGGGTGGGATATGATCCTGTTTACTATTTTATTTTTCATGTGTACTTTTTAATAACTTTTTTGGCTGTGTTGGGTCTTCGTTTCTGTGCGAGCGCTTTCTCTAGTTGTAGCAAGCGGGGGCCACTCTTCATCGCGGTGCGCGGGCCTCTCGCTGTTGCGGCCTCTCTCGTTGTGGAGCACTGGCTCCAGATGCGCAGGCTCAGTAGTTGTGGCTCACGGGCCTAGTTGCTCTGCGGCATGTGGGATCTTCCCAGACCAGGGCTCAAACCCATGTCCCCTGCATTAGCAGGCAGATTCTTAACCACTGCGCCACCAGGGAAGCCCTTGATAACATTTTTGATAGCAATATTGAGGTGGGGTTAGAAGCTGTGGGACCAGAGGCTGGAAGACTGGTTTATGTTTATGTAGCTGAGTAGTGAGGAGGGCATGAAGCCATATTTAGAAGGTAGACTAAATTGGACCTAATATCCAGTGGAATGTAAGAGATAAGGTAGGTGGAAGAGATTCGGCAACTTAATGGTTGACAATATCAAGATTCAAGATTAGAAATGTTGGGACTTCCCTGGTGGTCCAGCGGGTAAGACTCCACGCTCCTGATGCAGGGGGCCTGGGTTCAATCCATGGTCTGGGAACTAGATCACACATGTGTGCCGCAACTAAGAGTTCACATGCTGCAACTAAGTGTCCGTATGCCACAACTAAGAAGTCTGCATGCTGCAACTATGAAGCCCACATGCTGCAACTAAAGATCCCACACGCTGCAACTAAGAAGTTGACATGCCGCGACTGAAGTTCCCACATGCCGCAACAAAGATCCCGTGTGCTGCAACTAAGACCCTGTGCAGCCTAAATAAATAATAATTTTTAAAAAAGATTAGAAATGGTGAGGGTGTTGATTTGTGGATGAAAGTGACACACTTATAGACACGTTGTATATAAGGTTCCAAATTGAGATGGTGTAGATACTTTAGCTCTTCAACTTGGTGTTTTTGATTAAAATTTGTGTATATATATATATATATATATAAACTAGTGTGTAGATAAATGACATGTTTTTCAAAACACTCTTTGCTTAAAATCTATATTTCTTTATGCAGAGCGTTGGCAGTTGTATATACTAATCTGAAATTTAGGGAAAAGGTTTGGGCTTAAGTTAGAGTTTTAAAGTCATAGTATGCTTATTATTTCAAGCTGTATTAATAAGATTGGACAGAAAGTATATAAAAATAGATGAGAACAAAATGCAGAGTGGAATCATTGGGCATACTAGCATTTGGGGGCAGGCTGGAATCAAGGAGCAGTCAGAGACTTGGAGGAAAACCAAGAAAGTGGTAACTCAGAGCCCAGTGTGAAGAAGATTCTAAAAGGAAGGTTAGTTAACAGCCTTAAGTACTGAGGACATTATTAGGATAGATGCTGTACTATAAACAAGTATTCATTTAATTTTGCATGTAAGAGGTACTTGGTGACTTTAATTAGGGCAATTTCATTGGAGTGTTTGGCACAGACATGTGAATTCAGGAGTAATTGGGAGGTGAGGAAGGAACTGCAAAATTTGTTGATCATTTATAAGTAATCATTTATAATTTAAACATGGATTGCTGTATTTAATTTTACAGTCACTTGACAGATGAGAAAACCAAGATTTAGAGAAGGGAAAAACTTCCTGTAAGTCAAATAATTAGTAATGGACAGAAGTAGGATTTCAATGTATGACTTGTCCACGCCTTCTTCATTCCATTGCAAAGGCAGGAAGGAAATGAAGATGTCTGTAGACTGTTTTATCAAGTGGTAGGTTGTTACTGTAGAAAAGGAGAAAAGGTGTGGTGTTTTTGCTTCTTTAAATCAGAGTTCCTTTGAAAGAGTAATGTGTAGTAGAAATGTAATGTGGGATCTAAAATTATACTTCATATATAGAGCTTGTATTTTTATTGTTTTCCTTTAGATTTAAAGAACATATACAGAATAACTTACCTAGAGATCTTCTAACTGGTGAACAGTTTATTCAGCTGCGAAGGGAATTAGCTTCTGTAAATGGGCATAGTGGTGATGATGGTCCTCCTGGTGATGATCTACCATCAGGAATTGAAGACATAACTGATCCAGCAAAGGTAACCAGACTTATTAAAAAAAATCTTTCAGTGCATGAGAAACTAAACTTTATGTCCCTTGACTGCATGTGTGGTATGACTTGTAGCTCATATAAAATCAATTTCTGATTAAGGCAGGTGGGAATTCTTTAGCTTGTTTGATTTAGAGTAGATAATGTGTTTTACTATGAGACACCTGAAAAACTATGTTAGCTTAGAAGGATTATTTGGCCTATGTTGTGATGTACTAGCTCTGTTTTTTGTTTTTAAAAAGGCATATGAGAAAGTAGTTTATTAGGAAATACTTCTACAGATTTCAGTATTGTTAATTGTACTTTGCACATAATTGATAATGGTTAAAAACCCATCACTATTCTAAGACTATAGTATGGGCGGATAATACTTAAATGTAAGCAGTGATATTTAAAATTTTAGTATATAACTTGTGTGATTAAAATTTTTTTCTTCCCTAGCTAATTACTGAAATAGAAAACATGAGACATAGAATCATTGAAATTCATCAAGAAATGTTTAATTATAATGAGCATGAAGTTAGTAAAAGATGGACATTTGAAGAAGGTGTAAGTGCTTGCTTTTTTGTTATTGTCATTATATGCTTCAAAATACAGATAGGAGTAATGTATTTTTCTTTTAGTTTTGAGTGATGTCTCTGCCTTTTATTTTTGCTTATTAAGTAATGAGGTATTTGTCCTACTTATGGCTTCCATTATCAATTTTCCATTATTTTATCATTTTCCATTATCAATTTTAGAAACATTGAATTCAGACTTACATGAATTGCAAATTATCTTTAATCTGAACCATTTTATTACAGTTCAATTTTTAAAATCAATTTCATTGAGTTTTATGTACAACAAAATGTACCTATTTTAGGTACAGTAAAATGAGGTGTTTTTATTTTTTCAGAATTCTAATTCTTTGTTTTTTTTAAACATCTTTATTGAGATGTAATTCGCATGCCATATATAGTTCACCCATTTAAAGTGTACAGTTCAGTAGTTCTTAGTATATTCACAGATAGGTACATACAGTTAATTTTAGAACATTTAATTAATGTTAATTTTAGGACCTTTTCATCATCCCGAAAAGAAATCCCTTACTCTTTAGCTTTCACCCCTCTACTCCCTCATCTGCTTACTGCCCCCAACTCCCAGCCCTAAGGTACTGCTAATCTACTTTCTGTTCCTATAGGTTTCCCTCTTCTGGCTTTTCACATGAATGGAATCATGTAGTATGTGGTTTTTTGTGACTGGCTCGTAAAATGAGTTTTGACAAATGTATATGCATTGTGATCACCACAACAATCAGGATATAGAACTACTCTGTCACCTCAGAACCCCTTTTCAGTCAATAACCTACACTGCACTCCTACCCCGGGCAACCACTGATCTACTTTCCTTTTTTTTTTGTTGTTACATTCACTAGTTTATTTTTTAGATTCCCCATATAAGTGATACCAAATGGTATTTGTCTTTCTCCTTCTTACCAACTTCACTTAGTATGATAATCTCTAGTTGCATCTATGTTGCTGCAAATTGCATTATTTCGTTCTTTTTTATGGCTGAGTAGTATTCCATTGGTGTATATATACCACATCATCTTTATCCATTCATCTTTGGATGGACACTGATCTGCTTTCTGTTACTGTGGTATAATTGTTCAATTCTAAAATAGTCAGCAAAGAATACAGTTTTCTGAACATAAAATTGTGTAGTTCTATTAAAATGACAGGGTAAGTGGAAAATACATTCTGTTTCTTCAATTTATAAAGCCTAAGTAATTAAAGGGATTTTAATTTTAGAAGTTTTTTTACTCATGAGATATGGTGATTAAAATTTTTTGGTTCATTATTATATTTATAATTTAAATAATTTGTATTACTGTAGTCATACATATTTTGGTGTTGGTACTGGTTTACTTTCATTGTCATGTCATGCTTTTATTACAGATTAAAAGACCTTATTTTCATGTGAAACCATTGGAAAAGGCACAACTGAAAAACTGGAAAGAATACTTAGAATTTGAAATTGAAAATGGGACTCATGAACGAGTTGTGGTTCTCTTTGAAAGATGTGTCATATCATGTGCCCTCTATGAGGAGTTTTGGATTAAGGTAAGAAAATTATATGCTCTGAAACTTGAATATATTATAAACATTGATCTAGTGACTAACCTTTTTTGTACTTCTGTTGAATGTTGTTCATATAACTATATCTGTTGCATTAGGAGATGGTCTGCTTGCAACCAGATTTGACTGCTGCATATGCCAACCTCGTTGCCTCTCTTCGTCCTTCCTTACAGAAACTAGTCTAGTGGTTCAATAAAGGTGCTGAATGGGTTTAAAAATAGAATTTTATCGTTCTGTCACATATTTAATGGCTTGTTCAACTGTAAATTATTCAGTATTTCCTCTGTTTCTGTATGTAGTATGCCAAGTATATGGAAAATCATAGCATTGAAGGAGTGAGGCATGTCTTCAGCAGAGCTTGCACAATTCATCTCCCAAAGAAACCCATGGTGCATATGCTTTGGGCAGCTTTTGAGGAACAGCAGGGTAAGAATGAGGACATTCAGTTGATATTTTGGGATTTAAGTTACTTTAGGATAAAGTTATAGGAATTGAGTCTTGAGAGATGGTGTAAAGCAGAGGTCAGGTAAACTTTTTCTATAAAGGGCCAGATAGTAAATGTTTTAGGCTTTGCAGGCCATATGGTCTCTTTCCTAACAACTCTGCCATTGTAGCTCCAAAATAGCCATAGACAATAACATAAAAAAATGAACATGGCTGTTTTCCATTTCAAAAAAAAAAAATAGCCAGAGAGCTGGATTTAGCCTGTGGGCTGTTATTTGCCAATACCTGGCATAAAGGCTATTTCGTAAGTTTAAACAAAAGCATAAACATTTAATTACTATTTCTAGGTAATATTAATGAAGCCAGGAATATCTTGAGAACATTTGAAGAATGTGTTCTAGGATTGGCAATGGTTCGTTTGAGAAGAGTAAGTTTAGAACGACGGCTTGGAAATATGGAAGAAGCTGAACGTTTGCTTCAGGAAGCTATTAAAAATGCCAAATCAAATAATGAATCATCATTTTATGCTATCAAACTAGCCCGACATCTTTTCAAAATACAAAAAAACCTTCCAAAATCAAGAAAGGTGCTTTTGGAAGCTATTGAAAGAGACAAAGTATGTATTTGTGTTTTTTAGAATATCTTCCATAAAAAATAGTCTTTTTTGTTGTTGTTTTTCATTTTGGCAACTATGATGAAAGGTTTGGTCTGTATGTAATATATTTCATTACTAAATGAAGACAACAGTCCCTCTAAACTGATGTTGCCATTCTTTTAAAAAATTTTCAAATTATCATTAAAAGGTTGAGAAAATTAACATTATTGGATTTTCTATTTTCTCCACATTTAGAAATTTTACGGCAAGTTTATTGATTATTAAGTAGAGGGCCTGAGAACACTTTATAAACATAAATATGGCAGTTGCCTACATTGTAACAAATGTAGCAGTGAGATTATTCTCCTTTTCTAAAGTATTTCCTTTTATATATCAACTGATGTCAAAAGATAGTGTCTAGGAAATTTCTCATTTTTTAGATTTTCGGGTAATGACAGGTCTGTTTAAGACACAGGTTTATAAGAGGTTTGCTTGCAGCTGCAGTGAGGAAGATTATCTATGGTTGTGAAGATTTAGATCACTGGGAACTGTAGAGATCATTTTTTTATGTTTTACTTCATATTTGTTATGGTAGGTCAAGCTACATTAAACCCAAGACAGGATATAGGGTTTTAATTTATTGGCATTTAACAACTTGCATAGTTTAGGAGATGCTAGGATGATGTCTCTACCTACCAATGTACTTATTAGTTTTTTACCTGTTTATTAGATGTATGCTGAAAAAATTTAACATGAATTACATTTTAATACAATTTTCAATATTGAATTTTTCAAGTTGAGACATAAAAATTAAGGCATTTAAAATATCTGTGGTCTAATCAAAATATCTTAGAAATATGATTAATTGGTACTGCTTTTTACACAGGAGAACACAAAGTTATACCTCAATTTACTTGAAATGGAATATAGTGGTGACCTCAAACAAAATGAAGAAAATATCCTAAATTGTTTTGACAAAGCTATACATGGTTCATTACCTATGAAAATGAGAATTACATTTTCTCAGAGAAAAGTGGAATTTCTTGAAGATTTTGGTTCAGATGTTAATAAGTAAGATCTTAATTATATATTATTATCTATCTGAATAGTAATAGAGCACTGATAATTTTGGATGGGAATTTGATAATGAGTACAAAATAATATATTGTTAAATTTTAAATGTTTCCTAGGTTTATTTTTCCTTGGGTATATGTGGGGGTAAATTCAGTTTTGCACATGTCTGTGTGCTTAATGAGAGGACATATGGTTTGTCTTTCCTTCGAAATTTTCAGAATTTTAGCGTGGTGATTTAAACAATGAGTAGATGAGAGAAAGCAGGAGGCAGGAATTCTGTGAAAAAGGAAATGGGTGAAGGATTGAACCCTGAAACACAGAAACATTTAGTATATAGACCACCAAAGGTAGATGGGGTTTTCTGGAATAGGAATGCCATCTCAGATTAGAGAAGAGGATGGGTGTGGTTTTACAGATCATGCCTTAATGACCTCATCTTCATGCATTATAAAAGGCTAAAAGATGAGGGTGGGGAAAAGGACAAGTTTAAAATTTAAATCTGCAAAATAGAAGAGTAGAAATATTGATTAGAGCATTGCTGCCATTCCTTTCTTACCTGGTTCTAGTAAGGAAATACCCCAATTCCTGTTAGGCAAGTGTGTATACATTTTTGATGGCTGAGTAAGATTTTAATTAAACTGAAAAACGTTTAATATGAGTTACATTTTAATACAACTGTATATATGTGCTTGGCACATTAAAAGTTTTATAATTACCTAATGTAAAGTACATTAACAGTCTAACAGGGGAGGAGGTACTGGTCTTTTAATAGACAAAGAGAGGCTTAAAGAGAGATTAGGCAGTTTTTCCAAGGTCACTTAGCTATTACATTGTGCAGCTGGAATTAGAACCTACTTCGGAGCCTGTGTTCTTAACCACCTCATGTGCTGTATGTGTCTTCCTTTTGTTTTGTACTGAAGAAAGTATACAAAAGAAATGGCATATGTAATTCTAGCTTTTAGTCTAGTTGGATGGTATGGTGACTAGAGAGGCTGTACATAATATGTGAGGTAGCATATAACTGTTAAGAAGGCTTTGATCTCTCTGGAACAGAATGTATTTGGCATCTTTCATAGAGGAGGTGGGGCTTCATTTAGTTATTACTGGATTCAGATAAGCTAAGGAGAGGATAAAATGGTGGAAGCAAATTAAAGTTCATGTAAAAAGAATATCTGCTTGATTGGAGGGTTTTATGAAGCGGTAAAAGCCTGATGCTAAATGTGCTGTGTCTTAAAAGCTAGACTGAGTTCTGAGCACATGTACACGGTTGACAGTAGGAAGCTATTAGAGTTTTGAATTAGATTAAATGACATATTTAAATTTGGCAGTAATATACAGACAAATCTGAGGTCCGACACAAGGATGCCAGTTAGGCCCTTGTAAATATAGTTATGGAGGGTCTGAGTATCAGGTCTAAGATTGTTGTATTTGAAATTTAAAAAGGGAGTGATATGGAAAATCAATGAGCTGCTTAGAAATTTAGGTAGCAGTGTAATGAATTGGTAAGGATTAATGTTCAATCAGACAAATATAGGATTAAATCCTAGCTCTCACTTAATATTTTGTATTCCTCAGTTTTCAGATTTTCTCATATGAATATTGAGTCTCTTGTTGCCAACCCATGAGTTGTTAAAGGTCTTAAGGAAATTAGTCCATTTTAAAGTCCTTTATGTTGAGTAAACACTGAACCAGAGATTATTGACAGTTTTTGCCCCTGGAATATTTTGGGACCAGTGTTACTGTTAATTGTTATTAAATGTGTACATATGCAGGCTGTCCAGGGAAGTTGAACATGCATGTAAACATCAAGGTCATTTCCACAGAAATGTTAAATTATCTGTGTTCAGGTTTCTGATTCCTTAAAAAATAAGGCCATCTTTGTCTTTCTAAAAAATATTTAAGAAAGTGGTAAAAGGAGGGCATTTCCTGGTTGTCCAGTGGTTAGGATTCCACGCTCAAAAAGAAAAAGAAAATGGTAAAAGGAAAACAAAATCATTATGATTTTAAAGTCAGTTTGGCTTCAAGTGACATTGTTTTTGAAGTTCTAAGTTCCAGGTGAGACCTATAATACATATCACATTTTTTATTAAAAATTATCTCTTTAATCAATGATAACTAATTATACTGTAGTTTTATTTTAGTTCTAATTCAATTTATCACATGGCCAAAGTTTACACTTTATCCTAACTGGTGGCAGGTGTCTTTAAGAAGCATTGTTAAGTTAGATCTCAAAAGTATACAAATTATGTAACTGTCAGGACTCGTTGCATTGGACGAAAACATATTGTCAAGGTCACTGTCTTTGTTGTGTGATAGCTCCTTAGTCGGGCTCTCCCCATGTGTTACAAATAATAAAAACAGGTAGCTCTTGGCCAGTATCCCATCAGCTTTTTAGCCCACTGTAGTACAGAGAACAGGCACTTTTTCAGTAGCTCAGTCAAAAATCCTGGGACTTACTGACATCCTGGTTTGAGTCACATGATCACCTCTAAACCAGTCATTGGTCAGAGATACGTAGTAAGGTAATTGGCTAGGCCTGTATCTCTGAAGCCTCATTTGAACCACGTGGACTGAGAAGGAAAGTGCAAGGCAGCGGTTTGCCAAAGCAGATAACGTAGAAAAGGTAGCTGGGGGCAGTTTTGCCTGCTGGATCATTTTTTTTTTTCCAAAAGGATGTTCATTGCAACATGCTTTTGTTTCCCTAAGTGGAAATAACTTAAACACTTTAAAAATTTAAGTTTGGCTTTTGTCTATTCCAAAGGATTGTTTTTCCTTCCCTCTCAGGCTTCTGAATGCCTACGATGAACATCAAACACTCCTAAAAGAACAGGATTCTTTAAAAAGGAAAGCAGAAAACGGGTATGTAACTTCCTGCTGAATCAGAAAGGGATGCTTAAAAGAAGACATTTCATTGTGGAAATCCCTTTAAAGATAATTATCACCTTTATGTTGTGGTAATTTATTTTCATGATTTGAAATCATATAAAACAGAGTGGTCAAGAACTTTAGATGAACGTACACAGGTGACACTTATCCATTTGTTAAAAGTACTTATCTGTGGGAATTCTGAAAGTTTCCATTTTGACCTTTGATTTAGATCAGAAGAACCAGAGGAAAAGAAAGCACACACAGAAGATACAACTTCATCATCTACGCAGATGATTGATGGTGATTTACAGGCAAATCAAGCTGCATATAATTATAGTGCCTGGTATCAAGTGAGTTTACATAATTATAATTGAATTTTTTGTTAATAGATGTTATTAGAAATGCATAAATGAGGATAGTCTTTTTTTTTCCTTTAGAAAAAACAACTCTTTGCTTCGGTTGCAGATTGTATAATACATTGTCTTCTGGTTAAGACTTGGAAATTTCAGCAGTGAACACATGCTTGTTTTCTTAAATATACCTGCTTTAATTACATTTTTATATATAGAACTCAGCCATAGTTCTTGTATGCTAACATGTTTGCTTTTTCCTTTCAGTACAATTATCAGAATCCTTGGAATTATGGACAGTATTATCCTCCCCCTCCAACCTGATGGGAAAATTAAATATCAGATGGAGTGTGTGAAAAGTTTGAAATTATTTTTTTTTAATGAGGGATGTAAACATAGCATAAGCTTGTTGTATTTGATAACTTGTCTTCCCTGTTTCTGTGTAACATGATTTGTTCAGTAATAGGGGAAAATGTCACTTAGTAGCTTACCACAGATACTATTTCCTACCATTTATAAAATTTACTTTTTATTGGAGAACTATTTTTTTGATTTTTGCATTAAGTGGTCTAGAATTCTTTTGCAATGCATTTGCAATAGAGTTTTGTAGCCTTAAGGGTAGGGAAAAAAAACTGACTGCAAATCATGTCAGTGTAGTACAAGGTTCTGAAAATACATAAGGGCTGGTTATTAAGGATTTACCTCCTCCTTAAAAAAAAAAAAATGGCTTTTTAACCTTTGCTGACAAGATATTGTCTGTGTGGTTCAATTATCATTGTGAATTTGGATCAAACAGCAGAAGATACTTATTAAAATATTGTCTTGGAATAGATTATAAATGAGGAAATGGAATGTTTGCATCCCTTTAAAAAAATGAAAATCATATCAAAACTTGTTTCAGGAGACTTTGTATTTGGAATATTCACGTTAAAACTTGTGAGCAAGCTTTCATTTTGATCAAACTGATCATCTTCGTTTTTGTAATAAAACTGAAGACTCATCCAATAATTGTTACGAATTTATTGAGGGGGGGAAATCACCTAATAATATTAACTTTATATTCACCAGTATTAGTGGTTTATTGGTTTTGAAGTATACTTTTCTTGAATTCATCTATTGTTGACAATTTATTAGACCTTTTAGCCTTTTGCTTCCTCTCAATCTCTATGCTTTTGCCTTCCTTACACACAAATATTTAAAGATTTTAAGATGATTGTCTCTGGCAAAGCTGTCCAGACAATTTTACTGTTACTGCCAGATTTGACGAAGTCTTAGTACTGGTTGACCTAATCAGAACATGAATATATTTACACAACACAAATCAAGACGTAGGATAAATTTTTATTGAGCCTTTTAGTTTACAACATGAGGTAAAAGGCAAGTCAGTTCTCTTTAAGTGATATTCTACACAGCTGTAGTAAAATATTTTAAACTTCAAGGATTTATAATGGATTACATTTCTTAGAAGTTGGGGCTCAAGTAAACAAGTTCTAACTTAACTTCTTGAATTTTCCAGTTGACTCTTCCCTTAAAATAGTAACCAGTTCTAATGAGACACCTAAGTTTCTTCAAGGCTGTATTTTATTGTTGCTGATGCCTTTACTATTTCAGTCAATATCCACTAATTCCACTTCAAAAATAAGTTTTGCATTTGGTGGAATTCTGTTGAAGAAGTCAAGGTAAATTAGATAAAACTTGCCTCTCCCCTTATTCCCCTTAGTGTAAATTAGAATTATGGGACTTCTCTGGTGGCGCAGTGCTTAAGAATCCGCCTGCCAATGCAGGGGACACGGGTTGGAGCCCTGGTCTGGGAAGATCCCACATGTTGCGGAGCAGCTACGCCTGTGCACCACAACTACTGAGCCTGTGAGCCACAACTGCTGAGCCCATGCACCACAACTACTGAAGCCCACGCGTCTACAGCTCATGACGTAGAGCCCCCACCACAACGAACAGCAGCCCCTGCTTGTGGCAACTTGAGAAACCCCACGCACAGCAACGAAGACCCAACGCAGCCAGAAATAAACAAATTTATAAAAATAAATTAGAATTATGTATATTGGATACTGGTAATTAACTCCAAAGGGAGGGCTTTATAGTTGACTCAGGGGCTAGTACATAGGAACCTAGAGGTTCCTAAAAGTATTTTTGTGAATGGAGGTCATAACCTGTCAATAAAGGCTGACTAGATAAATTCAGCTTGAACTAGGATCTTCCTTACCTGGATGCCTCTCTAGTACTGCCAAGTTAGCCACTACTCGATGAAGACTGCTACTTAGTATGCTCCACCCCTGCCCCAAGTGATTTCAATCTAGCTGATTGTATATGTTACATTAAATCAAAGTTCATATGAGGTACTACATTAAATCAAAGTTCATATGAGGTACTACCTGATATCTGCTGTGAATTTTCAGATGTTGAATTCAGATAACTGATTTTTATCTGACTGGTCTTGAGATACTTCACGAGAGGGAGCTGCAGTTGGTCACGGGATTTTGATAGGCTGAGAAGAAGGCGGCTATTATATTCCCAAGTAACTGTAATTGATAAGACTAGAAAGGACTTCCAATTTTTTTTATCCCCAAACTTACTCTAACTGGTCCAACTAGTTCTCTGGGAATGGAACCAACAACTAAACTACCTTCCTACTTAGCTATTGGATTGTTCTGGTCATAATAGACTGGAGTCATGGCTCTTCTTTTTTTTTTTAATGTTCACAAATTGGGCCTATCAGAAAAGTACTGTCACTAGTTGTAATCACAAATGCGTACACTATGATGTTGGACCTGTGGTCTCCTTCATTTCACAACTGGTGATCCCCAACGTGTTCCATTTCTAAGCTTTGAGTACCCAGTTAATTGCCTGAAATCATATGGAAGCATAAAATTACCATGAGCCATATCTGAATCCTACAGTTTGCTACAGTTGTTTGTATTGAGCATCTTAACTCCTTTAAATAAACCCTTCAAACATTAATAGTAGCTTTTCAAAGATGGAAACTTAAACCTCAGTTTAGGTCTTGAAAATTAAGAGCTTATAGGAAGAAAAATGACTCCAGCTCAAGTTAGAATACTTTGTAACAGTAGAAAATATTGTGTATATTGGAGGTGTTGACACAAAAGCATCTAAATATCAGGAAGACTGGTCTGGACAGGATCTCTGACCTAAAGGTTAACCTAGACAGCATTTACATACCTTCAAGTGATCTTTCTTAATGATTTTTCTTTTAATTACAGAGGAAAAAAGGATACTTAGCATCAGGCTGTCCTTTCTTTCCATAAGCCCATTCTGGTTCAATCTCCAGTCGAGCCTTTTCTCCTTTACTCATAGTCAAGAGTGCTTCATCCCACTAAAGGCAAGAACATAAAATCAAAACTAATGATACTTTACAAAAGCATGCAAAGCCAGAAGAAAGGCAAGATTACATACAAAGCATTCTGTTACAGGATTTCATGTCCTAAGGTAATGTCCTTGGGTGAGAGTCTCTAAATCTGTCCTTTATTTCCTCAATGAAAAAAGTTAAGGACACATTAAACAATTTTCTAGTGTAAATACTTGAACTTTTCAAAATGATATAATGTCATTTTGTACAAATTTGGATCTTAAAGCCAAATTACCAAAAACAGTATGATGCAAGGATACAGAATATATTACTAATACCATATACTCTGTTGAAATGTAACAAATTACATAAAGCTCAAATGATAGAGATCTGTCACATACTGGAAATTAAGAGTATGGTTGACTAGAACAAATTTACCAGTAAACATTTTAGTTATACAGAAACAAAAATAGCTCAACCTGATATATCAACTTGGTATAATCAGATAGTAGTTAAAAGTGATTTTCAACTAAACCTTTAGCTTCAAGATGTTTTATATTCTATTTTGGGCTCTGGATATGATTGAACAATATTTTAGGTCTTACCACAGTACAAAGAATAACACATTTAGGGTCCTCATAACTGCATTTAAATAGGCATTTTGGTTATTAATATTTGGCATCCTACTGTTTCATCTCCTTTTGTACTGTACACTGCAATGGTCAGTACAGCTTAAGCCTAACTTCCCCTTTTTTCAGAGTTTCCTTCTGTTATCTCTCACATGTAAGGGTGGGTAAAGGCATACTTAACATTTGAAAGATATTTTTGGTGTTTGAGCCTAAATTGTGAGAGGTGAGAGGGCCACAGGAAAGACTCCTAGAAGTTTCTATCAGTACTTCAGTGGAACAGATATTTTACCTTTCTGAATCATGTATAAGTGGTACAACAGCTATTTAACATTTTATAAGAATCAAATTTAGAAAGCCAAACATTCTAGCAATTACTTTACAAAGAAAAAAATAATAAAAGGGGCAGGCATGGAAGGAAATAATATTTGAGTCTCTATTATGTGCTTTAAGTTATACCTATTTAATCTTTCTTTTAAAAAAAATTTATTTTTGGTTGCATTGGGTCTTTGTTGCTGTGCGCGGGCTTTCTAGTTGCAGCGAGCAGGGGCTACTCTTTGTTGCGGTGCGGGGGCTTCTCGTTGTGCAGCACGGGCTCTAGGCACGCGGCCTTCAGTAGTTGTGGCACACGGGCTTAGTAGTTGTGGCGCATGGGCTTAGTTGCTCCACGGCACATGGGATCTTCCCGGACCAAGGCTCGAACCCTTGTCCCCTGCATTGGCAGGTGGGTTCTTAACCATTGTGCCACCAGGGAAGTCCCCCACTTAATCTTTTAGCAACCTTGAGGTAGGCTGTACTGTCTGAGATCCAGAGAATGTAATTTGTGCCAGATCAGTTAGCAATGATAACACTTGATTTGTGAGACTCGAAAGATTATTTTCATCCTATTCTCAAACCTGATTCTTTATGTTACCATACCACAAGTAGCGTGTGCCAGAATATCTACTGGTTCATGGCCAGTTTTTACTTACTCCTCTGATAACTTTGCCTATCCCAACCTTAAAACTTAAAGGCTTGGCATTTTTCTTCTTCTTCGAACCTGTAAAACAGATTTTCTTTATAATTAATAATGAAGTTAAGTTCCAATTGAAAAACACAGTGATTTAAGTCTTTAAATTGACTTCAGAACTTACCATGCTATGCATCTGAAAAGAAATAAAAATTCAGAAAGCCAAGTAATTCATCAAGAAAATTCTGGATGTAAAAATAATTATGGTCTAAAGGAGGGAGACGGAAAGGACCTATATTTACACCATTAAAATAACACTATTCTGCCTTTTATATTAAAATACAAAAGCCGGAATTTGGGGCATTAACAAAGTTTAGACTAAGCTTCCTTATTTTTTGCTTTTCAATGACCAAAAGGTCTTCATTTACACCCAGCCAAGTAGTGAACTGAAAGCCTTTTACAAGTAAATAACAGGTGTAAAAGACTTCCGGAAAAAAAATGACAGCCAAGAAAAAGGTACTGCCAACACAAATATTTGGCATGCCCTAAAGCCAAAGAGATAAGGTTACATTTAGACTTACTCGTTTGAATATTAGTATCAAAAACAGTCCCATCCTGTAGTGTTCCTGTATACCAGCAGTGAACAATATCTCCCTTTTTGGGAAAGTTGGTTTTATCTCCTTTTTTAAGAACAGATTTTGTATATTTTGGTGGACCCTAGAAACAGAAACAACACACACATAGAGTTGTTAATTCATGTCCTTTTTTTTAGAAGGATGACAAAGAGAATACCAACTGTGACCTAAGTCCAGTCACAAGAATTTCACAGATTTGGTAACAAACTATTTTGCCTCTGGTTCACCACTGAGTTAAAAAACTCACTATCTCATTTCAAGTCTGTGATGAGAATAGTAACTAGCACACCTATAATTTCAAATAACTTCCAGCTTCTTTGGAAACCAATGTTCTTTTGACAAGAGTAATTATTCATCAAACCATAAAATGAATCCAGTTATTTTCCGAGGTTAGAAATATCATTACATTTTAATTCCTATAAAATTATAAGGCATTAAATCATTGTGACATCTTTTCAAAGATTTGAGTTGTG